ATAATAGTACTAGTATTTCTATATATACTTATCTTATTAATACTAATTTTTTATTTATTAAAATAGTTAATAAATTAGTAAAACTAGTAATTCTTAATTAGTAAACCTAAATTAATACTCTTATAAATAATAATTATATAATAATATATTTAGTAAGAGATAATATTATTAAGTTAAATTATTTATCTCTATATCTTAAAAAATCTTGAGTTAAAGATATATCTCTAAAAAACTTATATTCTAATATTATTAATATTAATTACTAATTATATATTACTAGAACTTTAATATTTACTATAAATATTAGTATTTCTAAAAATAAAAAAAAACTTATTTTTAGATCTTTTAAATCTTTATTTTATTTTTTACAAGAAGCTTTTTTACAGAAATTATTTTTTATTTTTTTATATTTAATATAATCCTTACTCTGTATTGCTGATATAGATAAAAATCTTATTATAAAATTTATAAATAATATTATTATTTATACTAAAAATAATATAACTACTTATATATTTAAAAAGGTCTTTATATTATATAATATTTAGATAATATCTAATAATTTAAATATTAGTATTACTAATATTCTAAAGAATTATTAATTATATATACTACTTAAAAAAAACTAGAAAAATTAAATATCTAAACTAAGAATTTATTATATTCTACAGCCTAATTAAGAAATTATTAATAAAATCTTTAATTCTTTGTATTAAACTAGTAAAATATTATATATTATTAATTATATATCTTCTATGTATCTAGTTTTTATAGTATAGAAAATTATTAATAATAATTCTAAAGAAAAAGTTATTATTAACTTTTAGAAAATAAATTATAAAGTTAAATCTAATTTATATCTAGTTCTTATATAAGAGGATATTCTTTATATAATTAAAGAATATTAATATATTAGTATATTTAATCTTATATTATATTTCTATTAGTAACTAATATAAAGAGATTATAAAAAATATCTTATAATTATTATTTATTAAGATTAAGAAATTTTCTATATTACTATTATAGAATTTATTAATTTAGTTTTATTTATCTAAAGATAAATAAACCTAATATTTAAGTAATTCTATATATTTACTTAAACTTATATTAATAATATTATAATTATATCTTATATATTTAAGAAGTATAAGAACTACTTTACTACTATTTTTAAATATTTTAAAAATATAAATTTAAAGTTTAAGTTAATTAAAATATATATTAATTTTTCTTTAGTTATTTCATTTAGCTAGAGAATTAATTCTTTTAGTTTAATTATTCTTAAATCTATAATAAAAATAATTAAGACTTTTTTATTTCTATTAAACTTTATTAAGCTTAAATATTTTCTTAATTTAACTAGATAGCTTTACTACTATATTAATTATTATATTTAAAAAATAAATTCTTTATAAAAATAAAAGATTTAATTATTAAGATTTTATATTAATAAATACTAGGATTATATTATAAAGACTTTTATTATAAATCTAACTACTAAAAAGTTATAAATATTTAAATAATTAAAAAAAAACTTCTCTAATCTAAAATATTTTATATATTTTAAGTCTAATAAGTATTTTTATATAGACCTAGATATAAGCTGTAAAAAAATAAATATTATAATTTATTATTTTATTACTAAATATATTTATAAATTTTCTAAGCTACTTATATATACTATAATCTGTTTAATTATATTTCTATCTTATATTCTTATAAATATAGAGAATAATTACTAGTCTATTAAATTAAAAATCTTTTATTTTATCTAGATACTCTAAAAACTTTATTATCTTATATAAGTAATTTATAAATCTATAATTATATATATAGATTATATCATAATTATAAATATTTCTAAGTAGATAATATTCAATATTATATTTATAAAATACTTAAATTTATAACTAGCTTAAGTTTTCTAGTATATTTAATAATTCTAATTACTAGTTTTTTATTATTTTAAAAATTCTAATATAATTACTAATATTTTATCTTAACTTTCCTAAGTTAAAGAAGTTCTATATATTTAAGAATATAATTTTAAAGATATCCTAATTAATATATTTTTAATTTATTTAAATATTTCTATATTTATAATCTATATAATTAAAATTAATATTAAATTTAAAAAATATATTATTAATAGTTATTCTAAGAATCTAAAAATAAAAAAGATTATAATTATTTTTATTATTAACCTAGATATAAGACTCTCTTATATAAAATATAATAATAATTTACTTTATATAATTAAGTATATTATTTATAATCTTTCTACTAGAAAAATTATAATTAATCTTAAGAATAATAATCCTATTAATTTTTATTCTAGTAAAAAAAATATTACAGATAATATTTTTATTATTATTAAAAAAATCTAGTTATATCTTTTTTATTTTATAATTCTTAATATTTTTAAAGTTATTTATAATAATAATTAGTATTAAGAATATAATAAATATATTTAAAAACTTAATAATTTAGTTATTTATTAAGATTAAAAGTAATTATATAACTATATTATTTATTATCTAATATATTTATAGAATAAGATATATTATTATAAACTATATAAATTATTTTAACTAATTATTCTTCTTATCTTTTTTTATATTATAATTATAAATTTTATTATCTTACTTTTTTTTTATAGATCTGATTCTTATAATTTCTTACTAGTAATTATTAATAAATTTATTAAGTAGATTAATCTATATCCTAGAAAATCTATATAAAAAGTAAAATAGTAGGGTATTATATTAATTAAGTATATATAAATATATAACTAGGATATTCTATACTTCTTTATTTTTAATAGAGATATCTGTTTTATATCTAAATTTTAGAAGAGTTTATTTTTAAAATTATAAATTAAATAATTTTATAGTACTGCTACTTATCTATAAATAAATAATTAAAATAAATATATAATTTAAATAATTAAAATTATAATTTACTATAATATTATCTAAGAATATATATAGTTTTTTATATTACTATTAATTATATCTGTAATTAATTTAATATCCTTAACTACTATAAAAAAGATTTTATATAAGTTAATATTTAGTATTTTCTTTTAATAATCCTAATATTTAATTAAAGTAATATTTAAAAAAATTATTCTAAATTATATTTCTAATATTCTAAATATTCTAAGTATTCTTATTTCAGATACTCCAAGAGAGGTTTCTGATATTATTAAAAATAATTTATTAGATATTAAAAATATTAAGAAAGATCTTATTAATCTTATTATTTTTATTATTAAATAATCTAATAAATAAATAATCTATTCTAAAATATATTATTTATATATTAAGATTATTATTTCTTTAGCTACTGGTAAAAAAAGTCCTGTTATTAAATTAAAGAAAAATTATAGTTATTCTAAGAAGAATATTATAATCAATACTAGTAATATCTAAGACTTTTTATTATATTTTAATATTAAAAAAATTCTTAAATTTATTTTTATTTATATAAAATATTTTTATAATAACTATTATCTATCTATATTATTTACTTCTAGTAACTATATTTATTTATATTTATATTATAATTATACTATACTAATTACTGTAATTATTAAGAGAAAGTTTACTTAATAGTATACTAGTTTTTTCTTTATTATTAAAACTATTAATTAATATATATATTAACTATAAATACCTAAATTATAATTAATATATCCTATTATTTTAGTAGTATAATTAGAATCTACTTATAATATTAATAACCCTGATTCTTATAGTTAAATCTTTATAAAATCTTTATAAATCCAGAATAAAGTATTTCCTGATAATAATATATATTAAAAAGTTAAAATTATCTTAGCTAAATATATTATATTCTAAGAATATTACTATACTTCTATAGTCCAGTATTTAATTAGATAAAAAAAATATAATTCTAAGAATAATATATAAATATATATCTTTAATATTAATATTTTTAAATTACTCTGCCAGTTTAAAGAGTACTAGTTCTTTTAAAATTAATATATTTAATACTTTATTTTTTTAGTTTCTGGTTTATCTATATACTTTTTTATCTTTTTATTTTTTAATATTTTTATATTTTTTTTTTTACTCTATAGTCTAGTTTACCTGTTAATTAACTATTATATCTATAATTAATATCTAAAAAAAGTATATACATAATTATTAATTTATATAGATATTAATCTTATAAAACTAGTATATATAGTGTTTTTTAGCTTACCTAAGGATTCTACTATTTCTTCCTTTAGCTGCCTTCTATACCACCAAATAAACAAAACTCTTACTCGCCTGTCCTAGGACACACCCTCGGAATCATCAAACCATTAATTCATCATCATATTTCATCATCTTTCCAGCCACACGTAACATAAATAAATTAAATAAATTAAATAAATTAAATAAATTAAATAAATTAAATAAATTAAATATAAAGAATATAATTATATTATAATTAAAAATATATTATATTTTATATATTATCTATATATAGAGTAGCTAACAGCTAGATCAGGTTAGGTTAATCAAAATTTTTATACCTGACTACAGATTAATAGTTAGGTATAAAAAATATATATTCTTATTTAGGTTAACTAATAGTTAACCTGCAGATTAAATTTCTTAGTAATTAAGCTTATTTAAGAAGATAGTATAAGGCAGTAGAATATTTCTACTTAAATCTTATCTGATTCTGCCTGATTTCTATTTAATTTAGTCTGATTTCTGCCTGATTCTGCCTGATTCTGCTTAATTTAGATATAATAATTAACTGCAGTTAACTGTTATACCTACAGTTAATCTGATTTTTATATCTTAACCTGACTGCCAGGTTAAGGTCAGGTTAAGGTTAAGATATAACAGTCAGGTTAAGCTACTCTATCTATATAAAAAATATATATATATTATTAATTAATTTATAATTAATAATTTATTTATTATATCTGATTTTTTTAACTAGTAAATATAAATAGTTAAAATAATAATTATATCTTAACCTAATTTTAATTATATAATTAAATTATTTTTTATATTTTAAAACAATTACTAGATTATAATTAGGTTAAGGTTAAGGTATAACAGTCAGGTTAAGCCACTCTAGATTCTGCTTA